CCAGCAGCCCCTACGACTTGGGGGGCTCCTGGGGGCCCCCGGGCCTGCTAGGGGCCCCCAGGCCACTAGGGGCCCCCGGGGGGCCCCCAGGGGAACAGCCCCAGCTTGCGGCAGACAATAATGGAGACACAGGGGGCGTCCTGCCCCTGGGGGCCCCCCCGGGGGCCCCCTTGGGGGCCCCCCTGGGTACTCTATCTCTAGGGGCCCCCTGGGGGCCCCTGCCGCTAGGGGCCCCTGAGGGGCCCCCCAATGCAGGGGGCCCCTCGGCATTCGCAGCTGAGAAAAAGGGTACAGGAAGTGTTTTAAAAGGGACAGAAGGGGCTTGCTACTTCAGTGGGGACTCTGCTGCTGCAGCTGCTGCAGGTGGGTGCAGCAGCAACGGGAGCAGCAGCAGCAGCAGCAGCAACAGCAGCAGCAGCAGCAACGGCGGCGTCTCTGTGGGCGATGATATGCCTCAAAATGGAAGCACGGGGGACTGCAGCAGTGGGGGCAGCAGCAGCACTTTCATCAGCAGCAGCAGCACCAAACTCCTGGGTAGCAGCATTATACAGAGGAGCAGCAGCTGCAGCAGCAGCAGCAGCAGCAGGCAGCAAGAGTGGCGCTGCAGAAGCCGGCTGCTGGCACTTCAAATCAGCGAAGCTCTTGGTCTTGAAGAGCCTTCGGGGGCATTTGCTGCTGCTGCTGCCAGTGCTGCTGCAGCAGCAGCAGCAGAAGATTGTTGCGCTGCTGAAGCTGCGGCAGAGAGAGAGGCACAATCGACGCCGCCGACCGCTCTTTCTGCTGCTGCTGCTGCTGCTGCTGCTGCTGACCCTCCGGCTGCTGCACTGGAAGACACAGCGCCCAGCGCGGCTGGGAGTTTGTCTCCTGCTGCTGCTGCTGTTGCTGCTGCTGGCTCTGCAGCTGCTGCCTCGAAGCAGCCTCACTCTCTCCCCTTTTACCCGAGTGCTGCTGCTGCTGCAGCAGCAGCAGCAACAGCAGCAGGGGCCCCTTCTGCTGCTGCAGAGATTGCAGAAGGGGGGGCCCCTTTTCCTCCGCAGAAAGAGCAGCAAAACCTCCAAC